ATGTAAAAGTGTATCAATGTAAAAGCACATGCAGTGGTGGAGTCAGGAAGTTTCTTTTAGAGGGCAAAGTTAAAGAAGAAAATGAGATAGAGAGCAAAAAAGGTAGTGTTTTGAGAAAAATGATTGCATTTTAGATCAAGTTTGAGACGGGGAGGAACCACTTTATTTACGTTTTTGACACCATATAAATAATGATTTTAACAAAAAATCAAGGGGGCCAAGGACTCGTCCACCAATATACTTGGCTCCACCTTTGACTACATTGATGGAGTTCAACACGGATGGATGTTGTATTTAAATCAATTATGGATATAAGTGGAGTTTTACATCGATTCTCAATGTATCTAAACACTGATAATTATAAACCGGATCGGAGTTTTACAGGTTTAAATTCTAATTCTTCAGCATTGTGTGGCTGCAATGCAATTCATTCCTTTTATATGCTTTCAATTAATTTACTCAAAATGGATGTTAAGGCAAGAATGTCATTTTCCATTTTACTCGATAAATATGCAAAATTATAAGAAGACATCTTTGTAAATGATCCAAATTTCATCCAACTACCAAAATAGTTGTACATTTATTCTAATAAAATAATGGTGTTTTATGGACTAGCAGAATCCAAACCTCAATACATATAGAAGATAGAGATCCTCACTGGTTTTGATCCCAAACTCCTTTGATTTTGCTCATCTGTTAGCTAGTAGGCATGTTGAGGATGGAGTCCGGTATGGTTCAAGTCTCCTCCGAGATGGCTTATAGACTTTTTTTCCAGTAGTGGGTCAGATGGAGCTACTCACCGTTGTATGGACTTTTCTTTGTTTGATAATTGATAATGCAATTGCTTAACGTTCCTTCAAAAAACTTATCGTGGTCAAAAGCATTATGTCAGGATGGTTGAAATTGTTGGAGAGGTTGTGAAAACTAACATGTTACATTAAGCACTTTATGACTGCACGAGAATTCATAAAGCATTTTCGTTAAATCATTAGGGCCTAGGCAGTCAAATACGCAATTGTTTTGTTGAATAATCAAAAGCATATTTCGTGTCAAATACGCAATTGTTTTGTTGGACCTCATTTGTATTTAACGGCAAAATCCAAAACTCTCACAAAACCTCGATCCAAGTATCCTTGAAACAATACCAAACTAATTGTCCTACATCAATTAACACCTCTAGTTACTAGTTACTAGTGGATAGGTTCCCAAATAAAGAAATGACAAGGTGTGGTGGTGTATCTCTTTCAACGGAATTAAGGTGATGGAAATGTAGATTGGAGGAGTGGCAATTCGATAGAGAAGATCCAATGTTAAATCTACCTAAGACACGGATAACCCCAATTAACCCCTTCTTAACTTTCAATTGCATCACTTGAATACCCCCTCAACTTTAAAAAATAAACACTTTGGTCCATTTGTACATAATGCCAAAAATACATTGAGATCATTCTCAGCTAATTGAACTTTTTCCCCATGATGACATTCTCACATGGACAACAAATGATATATTCAAATTTTCCGATGATGGTATTCTCTAGTGATGATTTTACTCCGTATAATGATCTCAAAAATGCATGAGAAGTGACATTATACAATGTTTAGCTGACAGAATACTAACAGATGGATCCAAAGAGATAATAATAAAGAACAAAGAAAAAACATATAAATGTCAAATAATCAGGAAAAATGAAAAAAATGAAAATAATAATAATAAAAGTAAAAATATAAAAATATTAAACATATCATAAAACAAAAAAAAAGTAATTTCATAAAATAAATATATAAATATGAACTTTATCCTTAGAAGATCTCGTTTGACATGTGGCGAAATCCCAGTGGGGTTCCCTTGACAATCAACATAAATACAAGGATTCCCTTACGTAATAGAAATGAAACCCTTTTTGAAATCCTTTTCCTTAAAGTCTAAGGACCTCCCTTATAAAAGGAAGGGTAAAGTACAACTAGGGGGACATTCTCTCCACTCACCTTTACCATCTGACTCTGTCGAGATTCCCCAGGAGCAGAAATCCACTTATTATTTTCCTTACAGTTTTCGACCCTAATCTACTTTCCATTTGTTGAAAAGTAGACATGTTCATGGGTCGGGTAACCTGACAAGCTGGCTGCTATTAAGTCAGGCTTGGTCATAATTTTAGGCCTGTGGGCTCGGGCTCGGGCCTAAAGCACCAGGTTCAACATTTTTTCGGGCTAGGCTCGGGCTTTCGCAAAAAAGCCAGGTCTGAGCCTGAGCCCAATTTGATACAATATATTAAATAATAAAAATATATTTTATTTAATAAAATATATATATACAATATTTTTTCTTCTCTTTTTTTTTAAGTAATAGTAAGATGTTTATTATTTTTGAATTTTGAAGGTTTTTAATATAAATAAAACACTTTTTTATTGAATAAAAAGAAAAAAAATATGTTTTCAAATTTCTGGCTGGGCTCGGGCTCGGGCTCGGGCTTTATATGAGGGCTGGGCTCAGTGTATTCTGTTGATACATATACAAAGCCTGACCTGGCCCACCCCATGAACAGGTCTACTGAAAAGAAAAGAAAAAACAACAATCTAAAACAAATAACTATAGAATCTGTCGTCTATTCTAAGAGAAATCTCTTTATGTTGCATTTCGCCTATCAGAAAATTAATGAGAAAGGAAAAGTCTTTTTCATAGAAGAAAAATCATTTTTTATGGACCACACAAATATAGATGAGGCATTGAACTCGAATTCAATTCAGGTCTTGGGGTCACACTCATCTTGGTGACTTCAATTTTTATCGACCTGAAGCGAGCTTAAGAATCAACACTGACGGCTCACTAGAAAAGAGCCACCTGTCGGGTTCAATGGGAGGTAGCGCTTTAGAAGGTGACCAAATACATCTGCATCGGAATTCAAAGAATTGGTACGAGAGAAAAGGCTGGCTGTCCAACAGACGATCGATCAGAGTATAGATAGGATGATTCAGTGAAGATTGGTTTATTAACATCCCCTGTTATTTTGGGGGATGGGTCGCACAGATTTTTCTGTTTCTACCGTGGAATTTAAATCTGCTCCTCACAACGTCCCACAGCACATCTCCCATGTATTAAGAACATTTCCCAATGATGATATCATTCATTTCTGGGATTATCATTCGGAGATATTTTCAATATATGGCCAGAATGTACTGTAGGACGTTGTGGGGGCTGATTTGGTTTCAAATGTTTGGGATTCAATCGTTTTTAAATGTTCTTTCATGAAAGCCTTTGATGGTTTAATTCAATCCTCACAGGTTACATCATGTGGAAGAATTATGGCTGACTAACTAACTTGGATTTTATTTTTTTATTTGGTGATGACAATTAGTTGGTCATGTATTCTTAGTTTTAGGACGTTTTGATTTGTATATATGTTCTGTAACTATGATCTGTTCTCCTGGTTGATGTAAAATCTTCTGTAACTATTTCCACCACAATTTTTTTTTTTCTGTTACAAATTCAGAACATCATACGAAATACCTACTGAAACAAAAATAAAATAGAATTTGTACCGAGTCCAGTTGCACTCAGTAAATTTTATATGGTGCATGAAGTAACAATACTGTAATCAGTGATAAAAGTCACATATCCCCTTTTTTAAAGCTGATACGTCACAGTTGAATCTTTACCTTTATTAAAGTCTATAACACATCCCTTTTCTAAAGCTGATATAAATATTGAAAATATTCCCTAATTGGAATCGCTAGGGCTGTATACGGGTTGGTTCGATTCGGTTATACATAGTTTTTTCAATCGAACCGACTATGTTGGGTTGACTACTAAATCAACTAAAATCAACTCAGAGAAATAAAAAACCGACTTGCAATAAATACCGATCAGTCGGTTTGTTCAGTTTCAACCGAAACTTCGTCTCGAAGCCATCAAGCACTTCGTCAAGTTTGATGTCGCTTGCAAGGCTCAGATTACACCTAAGAGCTAGGCCTAAGGCTTGCCATACTATACCTGAGAGCTAGGCCTAAGGCTCAGACCTGCAAGGCCCAGATTAGACCTAAGAGCTAGGCCTAAGGCTTGCCGTACTATACTTGAGAGCTGGGCTTAAGGCTCAGATTAGACTTCTTACTACTGTCCTATTAGCATTAAAAATCCAGACTTGTGGTTCTATATCTGAAAGCTAGGCCTAAGACTCAGGTTTGACTTCACACATCCACCCTCTTGCACGTTATCTCATAAAAAGACTTTTGTCGTTTTTGCTTTTTTTGCGAAGATTAAACTAGAACATGCAAGCATCATTCATGTGGCCAGTTTGGGTCGGTTTACTTCGGTTTACAAAGTTATAATCCGCAACCGAACCGATCGATTGGTTTATGCATATTTTTAAAACGAAACCAACCAAATTAAGTTAAAAACCGGCCACATCGGGTCGAATTGGGTCGGTCTGAGCGGTTTTTAACATTCTGTGAACAATCATACAAATCGCTAACTTAAGCATTGAAGTGCCCACACTGAGAAACACCCTGGACACTTTGGCATACTTGTCTTGCAGCTCGACTAAGCAACCTCACTAGCACAACGTCCGAACTATCCTCCAGGAAGAAGCACAAATCGTGCACCATCACGTTTAACATCCCTTTTCCTTGTGATGTATGAAGGTGGGTGGGGTCGCACAGATTTGCACAGAAACAGAAATCCAAAAACCGTCATGCTCAATTTGGAAAGAGTACATATATACGTAGAGTGAAAAAACTTGAAAATATATTTTATATTTCGAAACCCTTATTTGCATTATACATATTTTATTTGTACTCTTTTTCCAAACTGAGCGTTAAGTTCAAATTGTTTTTGTCTTTTCATTTTTCTATTCCTATTGTATTGTGAAATTTTTGGATTTCTTTTTAACAAATAAACCAATTGAGGGTGAAGAAAAAATAAACAGAGGCAAAAAAGTCGCTGAAATACCATCTATAAAAGGGGGGAGGGCAGGAGTGCAATTTGCAACCTATGACCTATCCCACCAACATCGTTGCCTTAATTGTATCTCATTTTCATCCCTTCCGACAATGGCTGATGACATTCAAGGCTTTGCCATGCTATTCCTTCTAGGGCTCATCTCCATAGTAGTGGTTACACTTACATCCATCTTGTACAAGCGAAGAAGAAAACTTCGCCTTCCACCAGGTCCATTAGCTTTACCTATCATCGGGCATATGCATCTCATCGGCTCAATCCCTCACCAAAGTTTCCATAAGATCTCCAACCGCTACGGCCCCTTGATTCACCTTCTTCTCGGCTCTGTCCCTTGTGTAGTGGTCTCCTCCGCTGAGGCAGCAAAAGAAGTGCTCAAGTCCCACGATCATGACTTTTCTGATAAACCAATTACTCTTGCTACAAACTATATAACATATGGTGCCGACGTTGTCTTTTCTCCGTATGGACCCTACTTTAAATTCATGAAAAAGCTGTGCATGTCGGAGCTCCTAAACGGCCAGGTTCTCAACCAATTCATTCCGTTGAGAAAGGAAGAGCTACAACGCTTCCTACAATCTATATTCAAGAGGGCCTGCACTGCTGAGCCCGTTGATGTTCGCCAAGAAGTCTTGAGCCTAACGTTGAACACAATTACAAGAATGGTGATGAATACGAGGTGCTCTGCAGAAGAAGATCAGGCTCAGGAGGCTATAATGGCGGTGCAAGACGCTCTTGAGCTTATCGGTAGGTTTAACTTGTCTGATTACATTGGGTTTTGCAGGAATCTGGATCTACAAGGTGTTAAAAAAAGGATGAAAGACGTACGTCACCGGTTCGACAATATCATAGACAAGATCATCACGGACCATGAAGAGGCCAGGAGGGAGAAGATGGGTGATGGAGGTGATCGCGTAGAGACTCTTCTTGATTTATTACTTGATATATATGAAGATGAAGAAGCTGAGATAAGATTGACCAAAACCAACGTCAAAGCCTTCATTCTGGTAAGACAGTTTGATCTCGATCTGTTAATCTTTCTCCCCCAAACTCTTAGAAGAACATCTTTTAAAAGAAAAATTTATGATAACCAGAAGAGCTTTGACCAATCAAAGAACCCCATGAATTTTAAAGAATATGATCTGTCACCTCTTTTATGATAACATTTGATTAACTATAAGTTTTTCTGGTATCATGTCTTTTCGGTATTAAAATCGAATCTATGACAAATATATATATATATATATATATATATATATATATATATATATATATATATAATTCCATATAAAAATATGAGCGGTGTCTCAATTGAACTGTCTCTTCTACAACTGCAACTGAAAGGAAACAATTATCAGGGGCTAAAATACTGGAGCATAATTAATGAGAAGAAATTTACAAATGAACATGAAAGAAATGGATGATACCTAATATAAGAATTTGATGGGGACACATTTTATCTTCTTTTTTTCGTTTTCTCACTCAAAACCCCTTTCATTCATCTAAACCCTAACTGCCCTTCATTTCAACCATCTTCTTTGTCTTGAACATGTTTTTCATCCAAATTTTACCATCCACTCACTCACTCTCTCTCTCTAGATACATAGACGCATGTGTTTTGACTTTTGCTATCTAGGTTACACCGGCCAATCATTCGGTTCAGATGGTCAGACCGTTTGACCCAGTAACCGGACCCCTGACAGATTCGGTCTTCGGGTCAATTTTAAAAACCCTGGACAGGGGTCATACAAGTCTGAGATTTAATGTTTTTTTCAAGCTTTAATTTTGTAAGTAGTGGGGACCCATATGATATGCATGGGCCTTGCAGGTTTCAAAAAAATAGAAGAGTAAATTTACAAACATATAAATAGGAATGACCGGGGCAGGATAGGACAACGTTCCTTGTGGGGACGGGAATGGGATTGAGATTTCTATCCGCATAGAGTTCAGGGCAGGACGGGGTGGGGCATTTGAATTTGTTTTCAGGGATAAGGCATACAAAATACTCCGGATCTCCTGTTCACGAGAACTCTGCCCATGTCTACCTACAATACACTACCCCCATGAATTGGAAAATCTCCCCCTGTATAATACCATTTAGGAGGATGAGATGTTCTCCTTGTGTGACTGCGATGTTATGTGGGTAGACTTGGTCAGAGTTTATGTGGACAGGAGTTCTGGAATCCATACAAAACCCCTCCCCCATTTGTACATAATGATGTCTTGAGAAAAAATAATTAATATTTTAACATTTTTAACGGAAAGTCACGTCTCTCCACCATTAATTCATTAAGGCTATGCTTGATTTGAAGGAAAGGTAGGGAAAGGAAGGAAAAGACAGGGGAACCTATACAAAGTTTGTAAAGGTTTCCATACCTTTCCCTGCATTTTCTTTCAAACCAAACATAACCTAAATGTCTTCTTCAACTTCTAACCATTTTATGTTTCATTGTCTTATTCAGGTTCTATGGTTTCTTTTAATCTCTGCTTGCATTTGAAATCCTCCTCTCCCAATCTCAATATTTCTCTCTCAAATACTTTCACAAAATGGCATCTATCAACCGCTCATCCATGCATGGCTAAGGTTTCCAACTTCCAACATTCAAAAGAATCTCTGAACTCATTCTTGCACAGTTGGGGTTTCCAGTTTCCAACATTCAAACTAACTGTATCCATCCAAGTTCTCTTCTTGTCTTGCTCTCCCTTACTCCTAATTTATAGGGACATAACAAATTATCAATGATGAAGTGAAAATGTCCCTCCTTTTTTGTGCGTCTAGATTGAATTTTAACGCTAATACATTATGTGACTACTTAGATTCTTTTCATATTTTTGCAGGACTTATTTTTAGGAGGGAGTGATACATCTGGACTGACAATTGAATGGGCAATGTCAGAGCTCATAAACAACCCGCCCGTATTAGAGAAAGCCAGAGAAGAGATCGACTTAGTAGTTGGAAAGAGTAGATTGGTGGAAGTATCAGACCTTCCTAATCTTCCTTACCTCCAAGCAATTGTAAAGGAAACATTGAGGCTTCACCCCGGTATCCCTTTAATTCTAAGATCATCGACTAGATACTGCAAAATCTGGGGCTATGACATTCCTGCAAAAACCACGACTTTTGTCAACGTCTGGGCGATTGGGAGAGACCCAAAGTACTGGGACAACCCACTCCAATTCCGACCAGAACGATTTATGATTGAAGATGGAAGTAATAAATTAAATCAGATCGATGTTAGGGGACAACATTTTCAAATGCTGACTTTTGGGAGCGGAAGGAGGATATGTCCAGGAATCTCTTTTGCTTTACAAACGGTACAAACAACTCTCGCAAGCGTGATTCAGTGTTTCGAGTGGAAATTTGGAAATGGAAAGAATGTAAAAGTAGACATGGAAGAGAGTGTGTCAATTTCTCTCCCAAAAGCCCATCGTTTGATTTGTGTCGCGACACCCCGCCTGAATCCATTGCCATTAACCTGATTTGAAAAGATGTCTACCTTAGTACCGTGGGGAAAAGTCTTGCTGTATGAAATTAATAATAATAATCTCTTCCCTCATAAATAAGTGGGAGGTAGTGACATTGTATTTACTCACTACTTAATACCTACATATATATAAGTTAATGTACGGCTTTCAATATTTCCAAAAGACCTTTTGTTTTTCTTTTTCTTTTTATTGAATTTATCACAGCACCAAGCTGATTCCATAGCAACGTTGGGTTTTAATAAATTAAGGCCCCGTTGGGTTTTAATATATATATATATATGTGTGTGATATGTTATATTCAGAGAAGAATGAATTAAAAGTGTCATTTTGGTGGGATTTCCTTCAAAACCCTACTGAAATGTTGCCCTTAACTCCTAAACGGCTAAACCTAGTGAAAAGTCAGAAGACTGGTCTTTTCACTCTTTCTCTTCTTAGTTCTCATTCGAAATCGAAACTTGAAAAAGCCCATGCATATCACATAGGTTCCAGGACCGGTTCTACCTGGTTCTGATCTGAACAAACTTTCGAACGCTGAACAAGTGAATAGAGACCAAAGAGACCCTTTACAGAAACCGAGTCGGCTACCATTTTCTTGGCAGCAACACTAGTAGCACCTTTTTTTTCTTGGCCTACATTCTTTTTGAATTTAGCAGCAATAGTAGCACTGGGGCTCATACATGTGCACGCATATAGGCTTGCACACAAAAATTGACATCACTTATTGGGTTAGAGGTCATTGTTGTAAGTAAGTCTAGCGCTGTCAATGGGTCGGGCCAGATCCAATGGGCCTGGACCGATTGGACTGGTTCTAGTTCCAAAAGTTGTTTCAGTGGATCGGTTCTGGGTCTTAAAAAAATTCCCAATTACTATTGGGCTGGAATCGGGTCCACCTTGTCTCAAACCAATTTTGACCCCACTCAACTCTCTCTCTCTCTATATATATACTATTAAATTTTAATATATATATATATATATATATATGTGTGTGTGATATGTTATATTCCCAGAAGAATGGGTTAAAAGTGTCATTTTGGTGGGGTTTCCTTCAAAATCCTACCGAAATGCTGCCCCTAAACCCTAAACGGCTAAACCTTTTCGTTTCAGAAGAGTGAAGAGTTTGAAGACTGGTCTTTTCACTTTTCTCTTTTTAGTTCTCATTCGAAATCGAAACTTGAAAAAGCCAAAGAACCAGTTTTCTGGTAAGTGGTGACTCAGTCACTTTGATCTACGGTGATGTCCGTCTAGAGAGTGGAGGCTGGAGGCACATCAGCCATCGCACAACACTATCGTCATTCGTACGTCTGGCGACTGGATGTCCATTCGTCTACCAAGGTGTCATCAGTAAATATTATTCTGAAATGTGAAATCTTCGTTCATTTAAATATTTTGATATTTTTATTGCATTTTAGGTTTTTACAATGTTTTAATAGCATTTTTAGCAGGGGTATTATTAGCATGCATAATCGGGTCCATCGGGTTTGACCCGATTGTCCCAAGAACTTATCAGTTTAGTTCTAGGTCCAAAATTACAGACCCTATAGGGTCTGGGTCATTTCCGGATCCATGGGCTCTTTTGTAGGTTTCAGGACTGGTTCTACCTGGTTCCAACCCAAAACTGACCTGTTGACAGCCCTATGTAAATCCCTTACACCTCTCATTTATTTTCAATTTGGGATTATCTTCATACGTTATTCACACATGAATCCAACGGTTGATAAGAAAAAAAAATGAAACCTTTATGACTTTCACCATATCCCTGCTATGTATTAGAAACATCTCCCGATGATAGTATCAAAAGTGATAATGTCATCATTGGGAGATGTTCCCAATACACAATGGAGATGTATTGTGGGGCACAGATCAGTGGCATTAAAAGATAGAATGGGTCACTCATATGGACTGAACCCACACCCAGCAAACCAGCAGAGGTAAGAAGAAAAATCATAGAGATGGTAATGTAGGGTGGCTTCTGGCTTGCTTTTATAACCTTCTACGGGTTGAGAGAATTTTATTTCACTTCGGAAGATTAGACTATAATGTCAAAAAGACATGGTACGCAAAAAACTTACAACCAATTGACTGATATAATAAAACTAGGAACCAATTAGGTTGATTTTCACCATAAATTTATGGAAGGTTGTAATTGATCAAAGCCTTTCCTATATCATGTTTTTCCGGCATCATACATTTTCCCTACTTTAGAATCTCTGTCTCTATTAATTTGTTTGTTACAAAAGCCACGTGGTAAAACTTATTTTGGTAAAAGCACTAATGGCGGCAAAGAAGACTATTCGATCAGTTGGGTCAAGGTTAGGATCCTTAGGTTATGCATACGAGTGTCCCAATTCTAACATGAACAATGATTGATGTGTTGTCTTGATTGTCATAAAAGGAGTTCGCAGGGTTTGTTAATTACCCATTTGCCCATAATGTTTTAATATTATTGCAGAACATGAAAGATTAATTAGATATAAAACGGTGTTAGGGCATTTTAATAAAGTCAAAAGTAATCATAATACCTGGGATCATGGTTAGCTGATGAGAAAAGTAAGAGTGCCACATACAATGAGTTGATTGACAGAATAGAGAAGAGATTGAACACGTGGCAAGTTAAAATTTTGTCCCTGGTAGAACAACTCTAATTAAAGTCATAGCAGTATCTCAACCTACATTATGTTGATTAATCTGCTCCCGAAAAAAGTTGTAAATAAACTCAATCATTTCTAGTGGAAAGGAAGCAAAGAGCAAAGCTATGGATACATTAATATTTCTTGGGAGAAAATGTGTAGAATGAAGAATGAAGGTGGCATGGGTCTGAGACTTTTCGCATGCAAAAACAAGGCTTCAGACTGATGGTGGTGGAAATATGTAATGCCATCGGAGAAAGACTTTGAAAAGTAGCTATGTTAGAATAAGAAAATAGATGCATTACATGACCCTCCGATACAATGGAGTGGAAACAACATGCCTACCCTTAGGCTATGCTTGGTTTGAAGGAAAAGGTAGAGAAAGGAACAGAAACATTGGAAAGTGTATACAAGCTTTATAAAGGTTTTTCTATATTTTCCTTTCTTTTCCTACTTTTTCCTTCAAACCAAACACAGTCTTAATGAGTAGGGATGCTCACGGTTTGGTTAACCAAATCGTGGGGCTTTTTTTTTAACCAAACACAGTCTTTCCCTACTACTCTATCTTAGGCTTCTTAGCATAAGAGATACTGATGTAACTCATATCATGGTCATGGTCAGTAAAGCCGGGCTTTACAACTCTTTTGTTTCTTATATCCATAGCGGTTTGGGTAGTTCCTAGATAACCTTTTGATTTTCAGACAAATTAAATGATGCACTTTTTTGTTTTCAGCAATTCACGAATTCAATGTCAAGGAATAACTAAAATCTTCATATAGATTTTCAGCAAGAAACATACATAAAGAAAATCAAAATTTACGGGAATGATCATTCGCCAACAGCCAAATCAAATCAATCTTCAATTCAGTCTCATGTTTTCCTTTCCCAACCATATAATTATGAGAGGGACACCCTAGAGTCGTCATTGACGGCTAGTAAGAGTGTAAGACCCACTTGTTGAATTCAACCAACAGTTCGTTGTGAGACTGCGTTGGAACTTGGAAGGTGACTCCGGTGACATCATCAGCGGAATTTTTCTTTCGGTAATGCACTGAAATTAATTCAAGTAGTACTGTGGTGAGACGAGAGAAAAGCAGCTTATCGAGAGAGAGAGAGAGAGACTGTCCAATCGGCCACCATAACTATACATGGGGTGAATTTCGGCCAAGGCGGTATTGATTCATTCATTTAACATTCATCCCTTTTCCATGTGATGCATGCGCAGCCGGAGATAGCACAGATTTGCACAGAAAAACAAAAACAAAAACCGTCACATCCAATTTCTTCTTCCATTTTCTGAGTACTGTGGTGAGACGAGAGAAAAGCACGTTATCGAGAGAGAGAGAGAGAGAGAGAGAGAGGCTGTCCAATCGGCCACCATAACTATACATGGGGTGAATTTCGGCGAAGGCGGTATTGATTCATTCATTCTACATTCATCCCTTTTCCATGTGATGCATTCACAGCCGGAGATCGCACAGATTTGCACAGAAAAACAAAAACCGTCACATCCAATTTCTTCTTCCATTCTCTGGTCTTACGATGGAACTTTTGGGACCCATTTTGACAAATAACACACCGTGGAAGAATATGGCCGATTAACTTTATACTGATTTTGGCTTGCTTCGATATTCTGTATAACTCTAATTAAAATACTGGACAACTTGACACGATCTAAAGTCTAAAACCCACTTGCAGTTCTCTGACATTTCCACGAATGCAAACATTTGCACTAGAATTAAACTGAGCCAAAAAAAAGTCGCTGAAGTAGCAATATAAAAGGAGGAGAGGAGGAGTRATATTTGCAACGTTAACCCATATCCCACCAACAATGTTGCATTAATTGTATCTCGATCATTTCCATATCCCTTCCGACCATGGCTGACACTCAAGGCTTTGCCATGGATTTCCTTCTAGGGCTCATCTCCATAGTAGTGGTTACATCCATCTTGTACAAGATGAGAAACAAAAACAAACTTCACCTTCCACCAGGCCCATTAGCTTTACCTATCATCGGAAACCTGCATCTCATTGGTTCAATCCCTCACCAAAGCTTCCAAAAGATCTCCAACCGCTATGGTCCTTTGATTCACGTTCTTCTTGGCTCTGTCTCTTGTGTAGTGGTCTCCTCCGCTGAAATAGCAAAACAAATGCTCAAGTCCCAGGAGCTTGACTTTTCTTCTCGACCAGTGCCTCTTGCTACAAACTATATAACATACGACACAGCCGATTTCATCTTCACTCCGTATGGACCCTACTGGAGATTCATGAAAAAGCTGTGCATGTCGGAGCTCCTAAATGGTCAGATTCTCAACCAATTTATTCCACTTAGAAAGGAAGAGCTGCACCGCTTCTTACAATCTATATTCGATAAGTCCATCCTCGGTAAGGCCATTGATGTTCGCCAAGAAGTCATGAGGCTATCAAATAACACAGTTACAAGAATGACGATGAACACGAGGTGCTCCGGAACAGAAGACCAGGCTGAGGAAACTATAATGGTGGCACAAGATGCATTAGAGCTCGCCGGTAGGTTTAACTTGTCAGATTACATTGGACTCTGCAAAGTTTTGGATTTACAAGGTTTTGGAAAGAAGATGAAAGACACACGTCGGAGGTTCGACAATATCATAGACAAGATCATAATGGAGCATGAGGAGGCTCGGAGCCAGAAGAAGAAGATGGGTAGTACTAGTGATGGAGGTAATCATCATGGCGTAAAGACTCTACTTGATTTATTACTTGATATATCTGAAGACGAGGAAGCTGAGATGAGGTTAACCAAAGCCAACATCAAGGCTTTCATTCTGGTAAGTCAATTAGATCTGTAAGATGAGTGGTCTTTCAATTTAACAGCTGCAGCTGGTTTATGAATAATACCAAAGCAATTATACAAATGAACGTACGTTATGGGTAATTTCTTTTGATATATTTTGGCAGGACTTATTTTTAGCAGGGACTGATACATCTGGAATGACAATTGAATGGGCAATGTCAGAGCTCATAAACAACCCATCCGTGTTAGAGAAAGCAAGAGAAGAGATCGACTTGGTGGTCGGAAAGAGTAGATTGGTGGAAGAATCAGACATCCCTAATCTTCCTTACCTCCAAGCAATTGTAAAGGAAACGTTGAGGCTGCACCCTCCTGCCCCTTTAATTCTAAGACAGTCGACTAGAGACTGCAAACTCTGGGGCTATGACATTCCTGGAAATACCAGAACATTTATCAATGTCTGGGCAATTGGAAGAGATCCCAAGTACTGGGACAACCCACTCCAATTTCAACCAGAACGATTTATGATGATTGAAGATGGTGGCAGCAATAAATCAAGCCAGATAGATGTTAGGGGACAACATTATCAATTCCTTCCTTTTGGAAGCGGAAGGAGGATGTGCCCTGGACTCACTCTTGGCTTACAAACGGTACAAACAGGTCTGGCATGCATGATTCAGTGTTTCGAGTGGAAGTTTGGGGAAGGAAAGCAAGCAAAAGTAGACATGGAAGAGGGTGCTTCAATTACTCTCCCAAGAGCCCATCATTTGATCTGTGACGCTGTACCCCGCCTGAATCCATTGCCAATAACCTGAGTTAATTAATAAGATATGTCTACGCCAAGGAGAAATATTGATTCATGTATGAAATAATAATAATAATCTCTCCGGCCCGGCCCATTCTAGCTACCTGTCTATGATGCATGCATCTAGTATGTCTAGATTGTCTTTGTTTTCTCTATTTAGAGCCTGAGAGGGAGTACCACTTTCCTTACTTTGTTATTCCTTGTCTCTAAGTTAATATACCATTTAATTATTCAGTATTTTGCAAAGGCTTTGTTCCAGAAGCACTTGAAAAGTGGAAAACTGTACGTGTGGCCTTCATTTCAATCAAGTTCATTAATGTAGAAACAAATTTTATTATTAATCTTTATTTGAACTGCAATTGTCTTTGCCACATCCTGTGTGTTTTGAGAATGAGATATTTCAAAAACTCTCAGATCTTGTTCTAGTAATTAAACCAGCATGAATGAAACAAGTGAAGGGAAGCAAGCTAGTTTGATGCTCAGGAAAAAAAAAAAGACTGTCCAGAATTACAAACCCATGAAGAATGTGCCCGTATTCATGATAAAAAAGGAAGCCAAGGACTCAATTGGGAATCAAAACAAATTATTGCATGCATAAGATGTTCCTTTGGCGATGCTGTGGCTTTGTGCTGAATTGGCTAAGAGATCAACTCGTATTGAGCCTATTTGTAAATCATCTCACAATGGGGAACGCCCCATCTCATCGACAAAAAATAAATTTGGGATGCCAAGAGAAAAGGTTTAAACACCCACTCCCATTTCTAGTACGTACCGTGAAATAGACTTATTCATAGGTCGGGCTGGACTTTCACATGTTGTTATCAACATAATTTATTCAGGCCCAAGCCCGATCCTCATAAAAGCCCAAGCCCGAGCTTGAGCCCGAAGCCCAAATTGTTGTCTACGACCACTGTTGGGGAATGGGGAGGCGTTTGAATATAAACTATTCAATATGCGATTGCAATATGAATTCCAATATATATCTGACTTGAATTTGAATATAAACTAATCAAATTTGTATCTACTTATATCCAATCTGATGCTGCGCGATCCGGGCACTCTTAGCTGGCCGAAACTTGATTCCTAACTGGCGATGGAGGGTACCTGAGGTGAAGGATGAGATGAAGGATCCCCGGGGATTTCATCCGGTGGGAACACTCCGATGCTTAAGTTAGAGTTCTGTAAGAAAATGGAAAGTATGGAAGAAGCTAAGAATGTAGAAAGCGCAGAGATTGAGATTACCTTGGCCCCTTGGGGGCTGTGGTCCTTTTATAACAGGCCTCCAATTCAGGCGTAACAGCCACTGCCAGATCGGGTGCAACCGTCATTGTCCTCCTGTGACAGCCGCTGTTTTCGGGGCTGAGGTGGCAAGCATGGGTCGTCTCTGCAGGATGTGTACCTGTCGGGTATGAGACATATTTCAGAGGTGGTAGGTAGGGCGCCGCCTGCCAAGAGGTAGGGGTGCAGCCTCCAGGTTCGGCAGGTGTTGTCAGAGAGATATTTTCAGGACCTTCGGACAATCTTGAGCCGAGTTGCATTCTGCCGAACTTCCTGATGTCGAGGTACTGGTGATGGGCCGAGTTGCTATCTACCTGAGGCGCATCCCCAACAGGGGAGCCAAAGGCGCCGGGTCATGGTGTCCCTACTTCGGGACACCCAAGTCGGATCGGGGTGTTCCCTTGGGAAAGGCTTAGAGCTCATCGGGAAGAGCTCGGGACCCAGGAGGAGTTCGGGCCCCAGGAGGAGCTCGGGATCACCCACACTTGGTGGGATAGTCCCCAACGAGTCGCTTAACCCGTCGAGCGTCCAATGTTGGACTCGGCGAGTCCCTCCTGTCGAGTCACGGTTGTGGTTAGGCTGAGCTGTTCGTCAAGCCAGGTCACGCGCACATGTCCCTGTGCTACGTGGTCGGGCCGAATCACCCTCCATCAATTGACCCCCACTCCCTGTGCTGGGGGTGCTGACCCAGCGCGGGGAGTTCACGGTGCGCCGGGTGGACTTGACTCGGCGCTTATGGCACCCTGTCGGGCAACCCATTGGCCAAACTGGTCTGTCGCTCGACTCACTCGGAAGGAAAAACCCGGGCTGCGTACAACTCACGCACGGAAGTCACGCGATCTAGACTTCGCAGACGCCAAAAAACGCGCTAAACTGATTTCACCTCAAGAGCCACGCAGCCGGTTTTCTTGAGAACCGTCAGATTGCTTCGATCTTGATCGTTGGTGCCCGGGCCTAGCGGCTATAAATAGTGGGGAACCCTAGTCATTTTCTTCCGCCACTAAGTATCCTTCGTCTAGCATGAGTTCGCGTCTGGAGTCTTCAGCTCGGGTCTTCTAACTCGTCCAGTTCTAGTTCGGTTGCGTTTTTCCTCGGTGAGTCCCCGAGCCTCCCTTTCTCCTTTTTCAGTTCATTTCATTCAATGTATAGGGATAGTCTCTTAGACGAGCCCGAGGTGGGTACCTCGAGTCAGGGTGACCCCGGTGTTGCCCAACCGTCCACGAGGCACGGGTGACCTCGGGTAGGCTAGCGTCCACTTCCCACCGAGGTCGGGTGCCAGATCAGTTCGGTTCGTCCACTATGACGTTGGAGAGACTTCAGCACCTCATCCAGCACTTCAACCTACCTCAGGAAATACTCATATAGTCTTCCTGCCGGCAACTTCCCTTGGGAGCACAGTCTGGATGAGATTGTGATCTTTAGGGAGCAGCTCGTCGACGGGCTTCGTCTCCCTCTTCTCCCCCTTATCCCCGAGGTGTTGAGACGCTTTAATGTCACGCTGGACCAGCTCCACCCAAACTCTATTCGAAAAGTGGTCGGGACTATCTCCCTTTGTTCCGAATACAACCTTCCCTTAGATATAGATATCCTTTGTTCTATTTTGTCAATAAAGAAGAGCGCCTCGGGCGTTCTCCCCGAGCACAGGCGGACCTACTATATGTCCCCTCGCCCGGGCTTCAAATTGTTACATAAACTCCCAAGCAAGGTCCCGGCCTGGAAGCGGGACTACTTTGTAGTCCGGAGCAGCACGGGGTGGCCCTTCCTTACTAACTGGAGGGTGGTTACCCAAGACCCCGGCATTGCTCTCGACAGGAAGACGAGGGAAACACTCCACTCATGGGCTCAGGTCGAGTTCTATCACAAAGATTACATTGCCGAAGAGAAGCTCATTCAGGCCGGTTTGAGCCCGGGTAGGTCTATTTTTACCTTAGCGTCCCGCTTAATCAGCTAAGTGTTTTCAAGCTTAGTGACACCGAGCTCTATTGCAGGTCCCATGGAGGAAGAGAGGATTACCAGTCAGAGGCTCCTTCGCCAGATGAAGAAGAGGAAGAAGCGATCCGCCAAGAAGGCGCGCATTGAGCCCCCAATTACCCCCACCCATGAGCCCGACCTCCCACGGGTTCCTTCTTCGGGGCCCGGGCTCCAACAGGTTCCTTCTTCGGGGCCTGGGCTCCCACAAGTTCCCATCTCGAAGCCCGAGCTCCCTAATGCCCC